AATTCATATTCCATTTAGAATGAGCTTTGACAGCAAATCTCCTGATGAGGAACCTTCAACCTACCTTTCTCCATCTCTTTCAAAACCTTACAGGCAGGTGACAAAGGACGCTGACAAAAAATGTCATGTGATATGTTACCATGATAGTAACTCAGGCATTGCAGATTCATTTCTGGGATTGAGTGAGTTATAACTATAAACCATAGGGGTTTTGGGGTATTTTTAGCAGTTGATTGAGTACATGGTCAAGGAAGAAAATAATACAAAATAAGGATTTCTTGAGCAGAGAATAAATGAAAGATAAAAGAGAAAAAAGATGAAAGAGATTTTAGAAAGGAGTTCTCAGAGATCACCCTTGCCTGTTTCACAGCCTCGATCTGATCAGATTCTTAGTTGCTCCTGTGTCCTTTTTTTTTTTTTTTTTTTTTTGCCAAGAAAGTGTTTTAATGATTATAAAGTATCCAAAATACACTAGCAGAAATAACCTGATCTGAGCGTTTCTCTTCAAATCTGGGATACGCAGGGTGAGAGCCTAGGGGTGCTTCGAGGCCGGGCTGTCCAGGGAGAGCGGATCTCAGGAGCCCGGCGGGCAGGAAGCGGTTTAGGAGATGACACTCAGGGATGAATTCTCCTTCTCCAGGGCCTGCAGCCGGTTCTCCATCTCCAAAGACCATCTACATCCTGTAGATGTCGTACAGGACCAGCTGCTCCAGGAGGCAGGCCGGCTGCCACAGGCTCTCCATCCCCTGCAGGACGCCTGCGTCCCCAGGCAGTTGCTGCTGAGGTCCAGCTCGCGCAGGCTGTGGTTGGCCAACAGGGTCGCGGCGAGGCTGCCGCAGCTCCTGTCACTCACGTCGCATTCCCCCAGCCAGAGTGACCGCAGCCCGGAGGCGGGCTGGCCCAGGGCTCCCGCACGCCTGCGTCCCCCAGCCTGTTGTCGCTTATCTGCAGGTCCAGGAGAAACTTATTTTGGGCCAGCACTGAGCTGAAGTGGGAGCAGCAGGCAGCTGTGAGGCTGCAGGACTTCACCCACAGCGACTCCAGCTGGCAGCCAGGCTCCAGCAGGCTCTCACACGGCAGCCGGGCACCCTCGTCCCCAAGCTTGTTGCCAGCCATGCTGAGCTCCTTCAGGCTGTCCTTGGCCCTGAGGACACGGCACAGGTCTCTGCAGCTCTTGGTGTTGAGACCACACTCCCAGATCCACAGGGTCCTGAGCCTGGAGCTGGGGTACAGCAGCCCCGGGCACAGCTCTGAGATGCCCACGTCGCCCAGCTTGTTGTTGCCCAGGGCCAGCTCCCGCGGGAGGCCTTGGAAGCCAAGATGCTGCACAAGTCCCTGCTGTTGTCCGAGGTGGCACCGCAGTTCTTCAGCTTGAGCGTCTCCAGCTGGCAGGGGAAGTCCTTCAGGCCCTGGCACAGCGCGCGGACGCCGGCCTCATCGATGTCGTTGCTGCTGACCTTGAGCTCCTTGAAGTCCGGCTTGGTCCTGAGCGCCGAGGCCAGCGGCTCGCAGCTGGCAGATGAGAGCCTGCAGTACTCCAGCTGCAGCTTTTCCAGGCGGCACTGGGGGTCCAGGAGTCCCTAGAAGAGCAGCTACAGGCCCGCATCCCCCAAGGGGTTGTCGCTGAGGTGCAGCTCTTGCAGGGTGGGCAGGGAGTGCAGTGTGCCAGACAGGACCCCGCAGCCGGCCCCCGTCAGGTAGCAGTTCTGGGAGCTCAGCTGGATCTTGCAGGAGGGGCTCTGCAGGGCCTGGAGCACGCGGTGCGCACGGTGCACGCCAGCATCGCCCAGCTCGTTGCTGCGCAGGTTGAGCTCCGTCAGCGCAGGGTTGGCCTGGAGTGCAGAGCTGATGTCCTTGCACCTGGCCTCTGTGAGGCCGCAGTCGTCCAGCCTGGCCGCCTGGCACCGCTGGAGCAGGGGAGCAGCTCGGCCCACCCAGCGTCGCTCAGCTCCTCGCACTGGATGTCCAGGCACTGCGTGTCCACACTCACGGCGGAGGTGGGGAGTGGCCTCGGAACGGCTGGCGGACGGTCGCGGGCCTGGAGACCAAGAGCTGGACGGCCGGCTTCATTCTCCAGCGTGCGGAACGGGATGAATGAGTCGACAGCTCCAGCCGCCAGAGTCAGCGGCACTCTAACATTTGAGTCCCTTAAACCATGTCATTCACTTCATCTGGGAATTTTTTTTTTTTTTTGAGCCATACTGTGTGTTACCATTCTGGTGATGAAAATACAATGTAAAACAGGATATTCAGTATCCATGCTCTTACAGAACTTGTAGTAGAATGATGATCACAGATAAACCACCAGCAGATTTAATGCCTTCCGAGACTGCAGACATTGGTGTGTCTATTTACATACTACTCTGCTTGAACTTTTTTAAACTCAGCTTTCTTTCTGTTTCTCCATATTTCAGCCTAAGCATCCCTTCTTTGGAGCGCGAATCCCTGGCCACACTGCTTACAGTAGATTCCTTCCTGGTAGTTTTTATTTCACATCTTTGCTTCTTTTGTCACATTATTATAGAATGAAATAATTTATTTCACATTATGAAATCTTTTATATATACACTCACACATATAGAGAACAAGATAAAAACACTTGTAGCTCACACAAACCCAACCTTAATGAAATTAAACACTTGCCACATTTGTTTAAGGTCATTTCTTCTTAAGAAATGAAGCATGGCAATGATAGGGCTTTTTTGGAATTTGTCTAGCAAGTTTTCCAGTTTTTACCAGATCCCCCCATCCTTAAAAAGAAGTAAAGCAGGACTAATACGGTTGGAGTTTCCTTTGTAATTCTCTTCAATCTCATTTCCCTCCCAATGTTGTGGGATTAGGACGACGTTGACATGTATTCTTCAAGAATGTTTCTCTGTTCTTAATCCATATTTATGTAAATAACATATAGCATAATTTTGTGTTTTGTATATATATATATAAGTGGTATGTACATATTGCAAAATTTGTTACTATTATTTTTTTATTTGCATTTTACTTTTATTTATTTTTGCTTTAATAACGCATGTTCTGTTCACGCAAAAGGTGCAAAGGACAGAAAGCAGGGGTTTAACTTGGCTGATGAAAAATCAAGCAGGGGTGACATTTCTGGTTTCATGAACAACGTAAAACTAGGAGAAACTTAGAAGTCACAGCTGGTACCACAGAGCACGCCAAACTTCATAGCTGTCTCCTCTCAGGACCTCTGGCTAGGGTGAGAGAAGACAGTGGCCTCTAGTGGACTTGGATAAGTGGCAGATTTTTTTTTTTTAATTTTTTTTTTTAAATTTTTTTGAATCATGGTAGCTGCATCACAAAAGCTCCAATCAAGAGGGTGGTGAAAAGAAGGCACAGATCATTGCAAATACCAGATTTTCTCTTTCTCTTTTTGTAAATATACCATCGCATATAAGCTAAAATTTCTCTTAGGGCGGTGGGGCTGGCTGGCAGGGGAAGGGACAGCTTGAACCTAAAATTGAATATGTAATAGAATCCTAATGGGGGGACAAAGAGCAAGCAGCTCTCAGCCTGAAGCAAAAGAAAAGGACACTTACTTCTGACTATGTGTAGTACAAACACTAGGGGATTCCGTGATAAAACACGATTAAAAAATCATAAAATTATAAAGCTTGTAAACGAATAATCAGAAATTACATTTTATTAATGGAAAATGTCATCAAAAAAGCACCACTATGGACTAAACTGCCTGAGCTTTCATTTCACATTGAGATCTCAGTAGGAAAGGCTTTAGCACAATTTTGCTCTGTGTAAGTCACAAGTGCCAGCCCAGGACTAAACCCTGGGGAAGATTCTCCTCTTGGATGGAATTTGTGTTGTGCTATCAAGACTTTTGTGCTAATCTTTCAAACAGGGACATGTTGAGGCAAACCTTTAATCTTTTGGCACAAGATTATTTTGGCTGGGGCAGAAAATTTGAGTCTCAGACTCAGGATGAATAATGTGACATTTCATTGGTCAAGTATTCATTTTGATTGTAGAGCTTTCTTTATGTCATTCACTTCCATCTGCAACCGAAGCCGGATTTTCTTCTCTTCATTCAACTCAGACAATAGCTGTTTAATCTCTCGTTTCTGCTGGTCCTTCATGTTCTCGATGATGCTCCTCAGCTCGCAGACCTGTGTCCTTAGCTCCCCCACAGCCACCTGGCTGCTGGCCGCAGGTTCCATCTTTGGTTTTCCTTCCGTGCTGGACAGAGACGGGGAGTTGGCTCTGTGTCCAGCTGTTCCCAAATTGGATGACGGGGGGAGGGTGCCGCCAAGGACAAAGGGGCTGACCCCCCACCGCCTGCTGCCATGGTTCCCGGCTTGGGTGGCAGGGATGCTTTGTTGTCAGACACTTGGGATATGGTAACAGTCTTGGAAGTTTTCTTTGACGCGTCCACTCCTCTGTGCGCAAGTGAAATGTGTCCCTCCTTATCCTCTTCGGGACATGGGGAGTCGAAGATATCAGGGCTTGAAAGGGATGGAGATGTGAGGGACTGGGATGGAGGCCGCCTCCGCGTAGCTGTTGGTCTGCTTGTGGTCGGATGACTGAGTTTCTCAGTAGATGACACCACGGAGTCAAAATTTTCTAGGTCGATGTCATCGCTGTGGTCTGAGAGATCTTTGTCCAGGATGCCAGAAAGCGAACTGCCCACCAAGTCAATCTTTGGACCGTCACCCCTGGTGTGTGTCAGTGGACCCACCGGTCGCTCTGGCCTTCTTGGGGGCAGTGCACCAGGTCTGCTCAGAGAATTTTTTAAAAATATTTTTATTGCAGTTTAGGTTTTGGGGTACATGTGAAGAACATGCAAGATTGTTGCATGGGTCCACACGTGGCAGTATGATTTGCTGCCTTCCTCCCCATCACCTACATCTGGCATTTCTCCCCATGCTATCTCTCCCCAACTCCCCACCCCATGTTGTCCCTCCCCTATTTCTCCCCAACAAACCCCAGTGTGTAGTGCTCCCCTCCCTGTGTCCATGTGTTCTCATTGTTCAACACCTGCCTATGGTGGCACATATACACCATGGAATATTATGCAGCCATCAAAAACGATGAGTTCGTGTCCTTTGCGGGTACATGGATGAACCTGGAAACCATCATTCTCAGCAAACTGACACAAGAGCAGAAAATCAAACACCACATGTTCTCACTCATAGGAGAGAATTGGTCTTAGGTGGCCGAGGCTTTTTTGGCGGTATGGCAGGAACGGAGGGCTTCTGTAAATCCAGTTGTGGCTCTCTCTCTCTGGTCTTTCTTTTTCTTCTGTTCTGTTGGGAAGCATTTCTGGTCTTTCAGGAGGTATCTTTTTAAGTTCATGTTTGCTCTCAGTGGTACCTGCCCCTTGTGTGATGACAGGAGGAGATGGAGGTGGTGGCTTCTTGGGTCTATTCCCCTCCTTTTCAAAGTCCGGTGGAAGTAACTTCACGAAGTTATCGGGGACCACGCCTCGTCTACCGTTCAGCTCTCCTTCCCACCAGCCAACGTCAACGCAGTCCTTATTGATGAGAGTGACTATATCTCCTTCTTTGATTGTCAGTTCATCATCATTCTGTGCCTCATATGGAAATATTACTTTGCAGTAATCCTTGCTTTTTGTCCTGCTGTCTATTTCCGTTTCCGACGAGTCTGGAGTTGCTGTAGTTGCAGGTAACTTCTTCCCAGTAGTCTCATCTCCCATCATGCAGCCAGCCTCCTCTCTTCAGTTTCACTATTATGTTTTTATGACTTACTAACATTGATAATGAGGATATAATTCATTAATTTTAATGATCATCTACATGACACTCTATGAATGTAGCGAAACCTGTTACTCTGTTCCCTTAGTGCTGGATTTTAGATTCTTCATAGTTTTTTTCAACATTACAAACAATATCGCTACAAATATGGTATGTCTACTTAAGCATATTTACAAGAGTTTCTCTAGGGTATACAGCAGAGATGGGGTTATAGGCTATATATGTATGTATATCTTCAAATCTACCAGACATTGGTAAATTGCTCTTCAAAGTGGTACAAGAATTTCAACACCCATCTGCAGTGTGGGATATTTTCAGTTTGTTTTATCTTTGCCACTAGTTTACTTTGCTAGGCATTTTACCTTTTGTCAGTCTGATGGGTGAAGCAGTATCTTGTCTTAATTTTCATTATTAATGACTTTACACATCCTTTCATATGTTTATGGACCATTTGAATTATACCTTCAGTTTGATATCACAACAAAGGGTCTATCAGGAACCTCTCCTTGCCCCAATTTGGAGAGCCTTGGACTCTAGATGCTACCATTTTATTGACTAAAGACTTTAAAATGTGCTTCTAAATCTCTCAGCCAAATATTCTGGAGCCGTTAAATACCCTAAGGGGAAAGTGCCTTCAAAACACAGAATTGCCCCTCTGGGTTGCTATGTTGCTTCTGAACTTTGGATTCATAATTATTCACAGTCTTTGCTTTTCAATACCTCCAGAGAGCATACATGTAACCAACCATTTTTAGTTTAAGTAGGAAGTTTGGTCTCAATTTCCTTGTATGTCATTACTGGAAAGGAAAGTCCTAAGTATGTATTTTTATTTTACATAAATAGTATTGTGACTTAGACCTTGCCTGTTTCTTACTCTTTTTGATCATTGCCTAGTTTTAAAACATCCTCCCATGTTTATATGTATGTATCTTATTAATTGCATTTTATTGCCTTATAGCTGTCTTTGGTGATCATCTACCACATTTAATGTTTCCACTCTCCTAATAATAAAAACAAGATTGTCTCTATTGTCCTGCCTTATCAAATACTGCTTTGATAAATATCTTTTTACATATACCCTTTGAGACAGGTAAATCCTCTTGCAAGGCATGTACACAGGAGTGAGAATGCTCTTTCAGAGGCATGTAGTTCAGCGACTAAATAGTGACAAATAACTCTCCAGAATGGTTACATCACACTGCAATTCTAACAGTAGTTCATGAGGATTTTCATATCCCCATATTGCCACCAATACTTGGTCTTCCCTAGCTTTTACATTTTTCTTCCAGTAATCCTTTAAATAAGCTTTCTGCTCATTTCCTTCTTTTCTCCTTCTGAGACTCCCATAATTTGTGTACAAGGTATTGATCGACTTACCACCTATGCAACTTACGACCATTCGACTTTACGACCACAATCGCTAGCCATGACTGCTCCACTTCTGGCAGCGCAAATGTTGCCCAGCTGGGCGTACAACAGTGCGGACCAGCTTCCGGCAGCACTACCATCTCCACGTGCACCATTTCAACTGTACATATAGGCTACTCAACTTACGACCAAATTGTGTTACGACTGGTCTGCCAGTCCCAATCGTGGTCGTAAGTCGAGCACTAGCTGTATTTGTATTCTTGATGGTATTCCATAGGTCCCTTATACTTTCTTCACTGTTATTTAATCCTTTTTCTTCCTTCCTTTAATTAAACTATTTACATGACCTGTTTTCAAGTTGCTAATTTTTTCTTTTGTATGACCCAGTCTGCTGTTGAAGATTTCCATTAAAATATTCAGTTCTATTCTTATACACTTTTTGTGTTTTTTTCTTAATGGTTTCTAATTCGCTAGTAAACCTTTCTTTTTGTTAGTGCATTGTTTTCTAATTTTGTCTATCTGTATTTTCTTGCATCTCACTCAGCAGTGTGTGAGATGATGATTTTGAATTTTGAATTTTGGGGGGAAATTTGTAGATCTCCATTTGGGTTGGGGGTTAGTTACCGGAGTTTCCTGTGGAGGTATTGTGTTTGGCTGGTTCATCATTATCTGTGTAACTCTGCATTGGTGTCTATGGATCTGAAGAAGCAAACACCTTTTCCCATCTTTATAGGCTGGTTTTGCAGGTCAAGCTTCTCAGGATGCTCTTGCTGGGTTCCCAGGATGACAGGATTTCTTCCAGAATAGTGGTCAACTGGAGGTAGAGCCAGGTCCCATGGTTTTGCTGGGTCAACAGTGAGGTCTGTGGTTGGCAGGCCTGTTACCTGGGGCTCTAGTAGGCTTAGATTCTGCCTGTTCCCTGGGTAAATTGGACTGCCTCCCAGAACTTGGTCAGTAGGTTTGGCACAGGGCTGAGGGTCTCCTTCAGAGTCCACAGATTGTGGGCTAGTTACCAGATATGTGATGTGGATGGATGTGGCTTCCTCTGAGTCCTTAGGAGGGCTCCTGCTGGGTCACCAGGTAGGTTCCTAGGCAGACAGCAGTGGTCCAGATTGCAGCTGAGAGGAATGGGTACCAAGTAACAGGGCTGCTTCAGGGCCTGTATACAGCTAAGACCAAGGTCTCCAGGCCTGCCTCTGGTTTATGAATGGGTATGTCTCCCAGAGAGGGCCTGGAGCCAGTTTACAGTGCTGTTTTAAGATCCACAGTAGGACCAAGGTCAGCTAAAATGGTA